AAAAATAGAGCTAAGGTAGTCCAAAACATGCACCAAATCAGTTTAAGGCATGGCCAAAAAGTGCTAAAATCAATGGCAAAAACAGCATGCAATGTAAGCCAGTAATGAGGATTTGCACTACAAGCATGTGAGGCAATCAAGAGGCCACTAAACCAGAAAAATTCAGAGGTATGACATACCAAATAAAGCCCAAAAATCCACTGAAACATGGTTAATGCATGCAAGAATGACATGCTCCTTTGATAGGCTATGAAGAGGGTTATTCTACATATGCAAGATGGACACCCAATATGGAAAAACAAGCTCTGGACAGAGCCTATGCAGCTCCTAAAACTCACCAAAAATGGCCTGAAACATGGCCCGGAAGCATGCAAATAAGGGCTCCTTTGTAAGGCCAAAAATGCTAGGAAACAAAACAAGGAGAGAGAGGGTCACCCCTCTCTGATTTTGGCACTCAAAATAGCATGTTAGCCACTGAAAATCCACTAGATTTCAATGGCTAGAAGGCCAAACAAATTCAATGCAAAGGCCCTAATGCATGGCTCAAAATAAGGCAAAATGAGGCATGCAAGGGGGTAGATGCCCCAACAGAAAAATGATATTAAAAAAACATGTTAAGGGCCTCGAAATAAGACTTTTTCCAGTTTACACTAAAGCTCAACTATGCTTTCAAGTATTGATAAAAGATGGAGCAAAATAAAGCTTAAAAGAGGGAATAGGGTGTTACCCTTGTAGCTCAACAACTCCAGCAGCTTATGGACCAGAAATGCAACTCCTTAGGACCTCTCAAGACCCTCCAAGAAGCTTAGGTTGGTGTTGGAGGGGTTAGGGTAGGAGATGGTGTGCAAAGCGCCAAGAACTTCACACTTTCTAAGCCTAGAGGGAGAGATATGAAGGGAGATATATTGTTTTGCCTTAGCAAATTTCTGAACCTCTCTAAAGGAGAGGAAGGCCCTCTCTTATTGACAAGGGAGGCTAAAGATTCTCCAAGAAGCTTAAAACCTAGGGCCAATATCCTCCATGAGGATGCAGTCTGTGCCTCCCAGCTAGCACAACTGGAACCAACTTACTGAGACAAAAAATGTGGGAGCTGGCCGACCAGTTTAGGTGGTCGGCCGACCACTTGCCCTGGTCATCCGACCAGTTCAAAAGGGTCAAGTCAAAGAAAGGTGGTCGGCCAGCCCATTTGGTGGTCTCCCAGCTGAATGCAAGCTAGTGGTGTGGTGGGAGACCAGCAATTGTGGCCCAAAAATGAGGGAGACCAGTTACCTAACAAGGAAACCGACTGGCGGGAGAAAGGTGGTCTCGAAGAAGAAAAGGTGGTCTCCCACCCTAGTACCACCTTCCAAACAATGAAAATAGGATCCATGCCAAAAATGAACCGAGACGGATGCAAAACGAGGGTTGAGGGGCCAAAACGTGCAGCCGGGTGCCCCGAAAACTGACTATTGAGCATCGAAAGTGGCGTGCGACCACAAAGGAGGTCTCCCGAGCCACAGTGTCCCTCTATTGAGAGGAAACAAGGTGTGTGCCAAAAATTGAAGCAAACGGAGAAAGTTAAGCGGTCCCGAACCGAGGCGCATGGCCGACGGCTCCGAAAATCGAAAACTGGTCTCGAAACGAGAAAAGTGGCCTACGACCATGAAAAGTAGCCTACGGCCACTGAGAGATGGTCTACGAGACCTCTCTCTCCCTTCAGGAAGAGAAAACAAAACCTGGTTCGCAAACTGAGGCAAAGCACAAAAGAGTCCCGAAGTCCGGAGGCAAGGCTCTCAGCCGAGACTCCGAAACCTCGGAACGAGCACAACATGCGCGATCACCGAGCGCTCAATCGATGACGTCTGAGTCTTAAGGTCGGTCAAAATTGGGGTGTCTACACTAATGTTATATTTTTAATCATGCAAGATATTCGTGATACAGGAAATAAGACTCAACAATTCTTAATGTATAAAAATATATTACATATTAATATTTAAGCATTTTTACATCAATATTATGCAAATAATATGTAAAGTTGGTTCAATGAATTTGTATTATGAAATTAAATATTAAACAGAATTGTGCAATTGTGCAATTAATTTCATACCTTCAATTATATTATAGGTACGGATTATAGAAAGTTGAAGTGAGAAGTTGATAGAAAAATATTTATATAATACTATATATTTAAAGCACCTCTTTATTATTTATTATTTAAGATAAGATTGTGATCTCAATAATCTAACCATAAATTAATGTTTACATTTATCAAATTTCTCATTTATTATTTAAATTCTTTAACCGAGTATGTATTCATTTATTATTTACTTATATTTTAAATATTGATCAATTTATCTATATAAATTTATTTTATTTTATATATATATATCACATATTAATTTTAAAAATATATATATAATTATAATATTAATAGTCGATAAAAAAATTACATATCACGTGCAATGGACTTGTGCAACTACTAATATATATAAAAGTTCTAACTTATTTGTCATTTTATGTGCATTTTCCACTGCCAGCGCAAGCGATGATTTGGTACTCTTTTTACTATCATAAACATATTGTAGACCTTTTTTTTTTTTTATCGGAAGACATATATCATTCAAGAAAGTCAAACGACACTTACAAGAGTCCATTCAAACCAAAAACTTACACCAAACAAAGCGAAAATAAAGCAAGAAGTACTAAGGAAGAGAGCTATGAAAATATTCAAACGTACATTTCGTACTCGTGCTCGTACTGCGAAGCAGAGCCGATCATAAAAGTTCGGCAATAGAGCATGCCTGAAATAAATCATAGATCCCAACCACAATGAGGGTAAGCTTAACAAATTCGCACAAATGCCTGAAATAAGTCATAGATCCCAACCACAATGAGGGTAAGCTTAACAAATTCGCACAAATGGACTCGAAGAAACCAAACAAACCCAGCAGCAGCTAGCAAACAAATAGGAAAAGACCAAGGAAATAACTTAAGACTAAAACCAAAACAACAAATCAGAAAATAAACCCACAACCAAACAAGACCAGCGGCGACGTCGATGAATCCGGCGATGGAGGCGGTGAGGGCAGCGTGAAAGAGGCGGGGAAGGTGTAGATCTGTGAAGGTGCGGATCCGTGAGGCCACTTCCAGAGTGAATGGATGGGAGAAAGAAACACCTCACAAAGGAGGAAGAGAGTGGAGAGCCGAAGCTTCCAAGTTATTGGAAAGCAAAGTGGGGAAATGAAAGGACAAAAGAGGGGTAGGGGGAGAGGAGAGGAGGCCGCCGGAACCCCCTCCTCCACCGCCGGCGGCTAGAAGCTCTGAAAACCCTAGGGAAGAAAAGTTTGGAGAGAGAAGCTCTCAAACTAGAGGAGTAAATTATAAATACACTTTTGAAATTTGATTAAAATATAAATTACTTCTTATAGTTTTAAAAATTATATTTCATCCTTAAAATTTTTAATTTCATAACAAATCGTCTCTTTTATTAATAAATCATCAAGTCAATTAACAGTTTTTAATGATGTTAGAAATATGTTTCAATTAATAATTTAGGTAATTTTATTATTGTATAGGAGAGTAATTATGAATTTCATTTTTTTAGCTAATTCTGTTAAACAAAAAATACTAACAAGGATGTATTTGTAATTTTCCAAATTACAGGGGGTAATCTATAGTTAAAGCAAATCTCAAGAGGTGTATTTGTAATTTATCCTAAAACTTAGTAATGACGCAAATTAATTAAATATTTATTGGAAAAAAAGGTTAAAGAAATAAAAAAAATTACCCATAAATTCTATATGGGAGAATATTAATCTATTTTATCCAAAGAGTTTTTTCTTATGAATCAATTAGCCTTTTTTTATTTTGAAAAGTTGTATTTATTTGATTCGGTATTTTATGATTCATTTTCTAACTTTCTTATTTGTTTTGGGGACGAGAATAAAAAGGTGAGGTGTGAAAGATTTTTTTTGAAAGGATTTGTGGTTGAAGTGTTGGCTGTCAAGCGTTGAAATCTATATTTCTATTAGTATGATTTTCCGGTATTACATTGGAGTCACGACAAGAATTTTCACTTTTGATGACTAAATTTTTAGTAACCAAAAGTCAATTTTTAGTCGCCGAAGGGCTTTAGCGACTAAATTTTTTTGTCGCAGAATTAGTAGCCAAAGAGTAGTTGGGAAAGCTAATTGGTGACTAAACTTATTTTAGTTTCCAAATATATTCATTTGCCGACTAAATATTTAGTCGTCAAAAGGTTGGGAAAAAAATTAAATAATACATTTTCGACGACCAATTTTTTTGTCGCCAAAAGCCTCAATTATTGTTGACGACCAAAGATTTAGTCACCGAAAAAGTTTTTAGCTACTAAATATATTAGTCACCTAAAATAAATACTAGTGTTTTGGCTACTAAAATTTTAGTAGCCTAAAGTCAAATTTTTTTGGCTACTAAAATTTTAGTCTGCAAATAGTTTTTGTTTTCGCTACTAAAAATTTAATCGCCTAAACTCCCACATTTTTTGCTACTAAAATTTTAGTCGGCAAATAGTTTTTGTTTTGGCTACTAAAAATTTAGTTGCCTAAACTTTCACATTTTTAGCTACTAAATTTTTAGTCGGCAAAAGTGTTTTTATTCTTAAGCTTTTGTTTTTAGTTACGAAATATCTTAGTCGCCAAATGTTTGATTTTCTTTTGGTTACCAAAATTTTAGTTGCCCAATGTTTGATTTTCTTTTGGCTACAAAACGTTTAGTTACCAAATGTTTATTTCATTTTATTTTATTTTTTTTGCTACAAAACTTTTAGTCACCAAAAACATGATATTATGTTTTATTGCAAATATTGTAATTTCTCTATAACTTGTCTGTATTCCATGCAACCTGTAATACGTATATAAATAAAATGATACATATACTATCAATCATTCCACAATTTGCATCCATATACAAAACATAAATAACTTTAACTGTCAAAGTATATACAAACCAACTATTGTCCAAACTAAAATAATAATTCCATACAAAATATAAAATCATACAAAAATCAAAGCCCTCCATATACAAAAATTACATTTACTACCATGTGAAATGACCATTTGGCATGGTACAAATTACCATTGTAATCTGTACCACGACAAAAGGTGATGTTTGTATGAAGACAAAAGTACGTCTATGTACCACGGCAAAAAATCATATATATGTACGGTGACAAAATGTGATCTATCTACCATGCCGGTAATTATCTGTTGGTTGCCAAAAGTTTTCTGTATCAATCATAGTGAACTGCACAAAAGCCAGTGACGACAAAAGTATTATATTAGTTCTATACAAAAGTGAAATTTCTTCACCATGTACCAAAATATTACTCTGAAAGTCCACGCAACAAAGTCATCTACAAAAAACAAAAAAAACATTAGAATTGGACCAAAAAATGCCTAACTTTATGAATGAATTTGGCAACAAGTGACAAATAACATATCAAAGAAGCAACCTTCCATGATGAATCAATTATCATTCTTTCTAAAGTTTTTTGTTATAAGGAACATTGTTAAATGCAGAAAAATCATTACTAAATCTGTCATTACTAACATATAGCTAATGTAACATTCTTTTATTTGTATGCAACATGTATCCAAATTCTGTGGCTAAACCGATATCAAAGCCCAATGTGAATAGAAGGTGTTCTTTTTACCAACTTCCTCATTAATTCTTTGCAAAAAGCACTTGAATCATTAGATTGGATATAAAACTATCTCTACTTATTAATGTCTATTAGTGCCATTTCATTCAGGATATTAGAACATGTGAGAAAAATAATAACAAAAATAAAGTTCAATCACAAAAGGAAATATGTAGAAATGTATGTTGAGACACCTATAAATGGTTCATCAAAGAAAGAATACTTGATATCTCATAAACCACATGGCCTCAGAAACACCATTCAGAGTTTGATACTTGTATGAAAGCTTAAGTATAATATAACACACTTGTGTACGTTCAAGAAATTAATATAATATAACAAGGTGTAAAATGAGTTAATATTGGTTTCTGAATATTTTCCTATAATTTTCCATTACTATACATCTCCAATAAATAATTGTATTCACTATACACTTCCAACCACAAAAAATCTCAGAACAGATGCTCAGAAAATCTTAAGTAACAAAACTTGGATATAGTGTCATTCCAGTTTGAGAAAAGACAATTAAAGTGGAAAAGGATAACAATCGTTAGATGATCTATCATGGCAACAACAATAACTAACAAAATGCAGAGCCAATCATATGTTGATCTATCATGGCAGTAACAAATACTAACAAAATGCAGAACTCACATACCAAGCTCCTGCAAGTTCACATTCGGAGCAAGAAAAGAATTTTCTTTCATCTTATTTGTATGAATCTGAAGAACAATGTGCACTTCAACAAAACTCTTTTTCTTTTGGGGGCTGTTTTGAATTTTCGCCACTGAAACGCCATTTTTTGAGTAGGTTTGAGGCGTATTCAGCTCTAACTCCCAACCTACAGGTCCAGATTACATTCCGTCAGTTGTCACAAGTCCTATTTGTCATGGGAAAACTGTCCATGAGAGTCACACGGCCGTTCAGGGGCAGTTTTGAATTTTCGCCCACAAAACGCCATTTTTCGACAAAGTTTTGGGCGTATTCGGCTCTAACTCCCAACCAACGGATCCGAAATACATTCTGTCAGTTGTCACAAGTCCTATTTGTCATAGGGAAACTGCCCATGAGAGTCATATGGTGGTTCAGGGGCTGTTTTGAATTTTTGCCCCCGAAACGCCGTTGTTCGAGTAAGTTTTGGGCGTATTCAGCTCTAACTCCCAACCTACAAGTCCAGATTACATTCCGTCAGTTTTCAGAAGTCCTATTTGTCATGGGGAAGCTTTCTGTGAGATTCACACGGTGGTTCGCAGCCTGTTTTGAATTTTCGCCGCGGAAATGCCTTTTTTCGACTAAGTTTTGGACGTATTTGGCTCTAACTCCCAATCTACGAGTCTGAATAACATTCCGTCAGTTGTTACAAGTCATATTTTCATGGGGACACTGCCCGTGAGAGTCACATGGAGGTTCGGGAGCTTTTTTGAATTTTTGCCCCTGAAACGCCCTTTTTTAAGTAAGTTTTGGGCGTATTCGGCTATAACTCCCAACCTACGGGTCCGAATAACATTTCGTCAGTTGTCACAAGTCATATTTGTCATGGGGAAGCTGCCCGTGAGAGTCACACGGTGGTTCAGGGGTTTTTTTGCATTTTCGCCCCCCGAAACGCCCTTTTTCGAGTAAGTTTTGGGCGTATTTGGCTCTAACTCCCAACCTACAAGTCCAGATTACATTTCGTTAGTTGTCACTAGTCCTAATTTTTCATGGGAAAGCTACCCGTGAGAGTCACACGGTGGTTCGGGGGCTATTTTGAATTTTCGCTCCCGAAACGCCATTTTTGGAGTAAATTTTGGGCGTATTCGGCTCTAACTCCCAACCTACGGGTGCAGATTACATTCTGTTAGTTGTCAGAAGTCCTATTTGTCATAGGGAAGCTGCCCGTGAGAGTCATATGGTGGTTTGGGGGCTATTTTGAATTTTTACCCCCGAAATGCCCTTTTTCGAGTAAGTTTTGGGCGTATGCGGCTCTAACTCCCAACCTACCGGTCCAAATAACATTCCATCAGCTGTCACAAGTCCTATTTGTCATGGGGAAGCTACTCGTGAGAGTCACACGGTGGTTCGAGAGCTGTTTTAAATTTTTGCCCTCGAAACGCCCTTTTTCGAGTGAGTTTTGGGCGTATTCGGCTCTAACTCCCAACCTACGAGTCCAGATTACATTCCGTCAGTTGTCACAAGTCATATTTGTCATAGGGAAGCTTCTTGTGAGAGTCACATGCTGGTTCGGGGGCTATTTTGAATTTTTGCCCCTAAAACGCCCTTTTTTGAGTAAATTTTGGGCGTATTCGGCTCTAACTCCCAACCTACGGGTCCAGATTACATTCCCTCAGTTGTCACAAGTCCTATTTGTCATAGGGAAGCTACCTGTGAGAGTCAAATGATGGTTCGGGGGTTATTTTGGATTTTCACCCCTGAAACGCCCTTTTTTGAGTAAGTTTTTGGCATATTCAGCTCTAACTCCCAACCTACGGGTCTGAATTACTTTTCGTCAATTGTCACAAGTCTGATTTGTCATGGGGAAGCTACCCGTGAGAGTCACGAGGTGATTCAGGGGCTGTTTTGAATTTTTGCCCGCGAAATGCCCTTTTTCGACTAAGTTTAGGGCGTATTCGGCTCTAACTCCCAACCTACGGGTCTGGATTACATTTCGTTAGTTGTCAGAAGTCCTATTTTCATGGAAAAACTGTCCGTGAGAGCCCCATGATGGTTCGGGGGCATTTTTGAATTTTTACCCTCGAAACGCCCTTTTTCGACTTAGTTTAGGGCGTATTCGTCTTGTTATCAAAATAATTGTGAAGATATGGCAATAAGGACTGGCCTTATGGAAAAAGTTGTCTGCTCTAAATATGAATCTATTGGTGGGAGATGGATGCCATTCTTGGAAGATATTAGCAGAGTTTCAAGAGTATAGGGGAACATTCTTTCGGTTGCTAGTAGTAAAGTGCACAAAGAGCTGGTGAGGCAGAAACAAATATACCCACTGCCCATGTCAAACTAATTTTATTATTCATGAGGCACTGAGGAACACTTTAATCATAACATAATAATTAAGCACTCAAGTAATCTTCTCCAAGTAGTTGGGATTTCTGCTTTTGTCTATTTATGAAAATGAAAATGAATTTTAATAAACAAAATTAGACCAATGTTATTGCACATCAAAATTAGAAGTAGAGTCTACTCATTAGAAGCATACCTCATATCCTATCCAAGCAACAGAAGAAATCATTGTTCCTGTTAATGCATTTGATAACTTTCTGTAAATATCCAACTTGACACAACTCCTCTTTGCTTGGATAGAGAGAAAAATATCATTATACAAACTCTGAGAATGAAAATAGTATAGTTGCTCTAATGGAAAAATAATTTAATGTTGCAACTAATCAGTTTCCCAAATTCTACCTATCCTCATGAAAATGGTACTAAAGGAGCCGTCTTGATGATGTTAACAAAGCTTTATTTTGTCTTGTGATTCCTTTTGCAAATATAGTGTGATGGTTAACATCTATATTTAGCAGGTCACTATTTCAACTAGAGAAGTTTAAAATTTTTAAAATTTTACACTTAATAATGGGGAACTTGAAGGCATTGGATGAAGACATATTTGTAAGATCCTGAAAATGAACAAGGGAAAGTACCAAAGCAGGGCATATAATGCTAGTCATATCCATTAATCAATGGGAGCCAAATTAAATGATGTAGAAAATATATAGATGTCAATACAACTTTTTAAAGAAAAAATGAAGTCTCAAAACTTGATATATTGTTTTTATATGTTATAGATGTCGATACAGCTTTTTAAGTTTAAGGCGTTTTTGGCTCTTACTCCCAACCTACAAGTGCAAATTACATTCCGTCTATTGTCACAGGTCTTATTTGTGATGGAGAAGTTGTTCGTGACAACAACACGGTGGTTCGGTGGCTGTTTCATAGCTTTGCCCCCTTAACACCCTTTTTCGGTTAAGTCTGAGGTGTTTTTGGCTCTAACTCCCAACTTACAAGTTCAAATTACATTCCGTCTATTGTCATAAGTCCTATTTTTGATGGAGAAACTGTTCGTGACAACCACACAGTGGTTTGGGGGCAGTTTCATAATTTTGCTCACTTAACGCCCTTTTTTCGGTTAAGTTTGAGGTGTTTTTGACTCTAACTCCCAACCTACAAATTCAAATTACATTCTGTCTATTGTCATAGGTCCGATTTGTGATGGGGAAGCTATTCGTGATAGCCATATGGTGGTTCGGAGGCTGTTTCGTAGTTTCGCCCCCTTAACGCCCTTTTTTCGGTTAAGTTTGACGCGTTTTGGGCTCTAACTCCCAACCTACAAATGTAAATTACATTCCGTCTATTGTCACAGGTCCTATTTGTGATGGGGAAGCTGTTTGTGACAGCCACATGGTGGTTCGGGGGCAGTTTCATAGTTTTGCTCTCTTAACGCCCTTTTTCGGTTAAGTTTGAGGCATTTTTGGCTCTAACTCCCAACCTACAAATGCAAATTACATTCCTTCTGTTGTCACAGGTCTAATTTGTGATGGGGAAGCTATTTGTGACAGCCACATGGTGGTTCGGGGGCTGTTTTGTACTTTTGCCCCCTTAACGCCTTTTTTCAGTTAAGTTTGCGGTGTTTTGGCCTCTGGCTCCCAACCTAGAAGTGAAAATTACATTTCGTCTATTGTCACAGGTCCTATTGGTGATAGGGAAACTATTCGTGATAGCCACACAGTGGTTCGGGGGCTGTTTCGTAGTTTCGCCCCCTTGATGCCCTTTTTCGGCTAAGTTTGAGGCGTTTTTGGCTCTAACTCCCAACCTACAAGTGCAAATTACATTCCGTCTATTGTCACAGGTCCTATTTGTGATGGGGAAGCTGTTCGTGACAGCCACATAGTGGTTCGGGGGCTGTTTCATAGTTTCGCCCCTTAGCATCCTTTTTCGGTAAGTTTGAAGTGTTTTTAGCTCTAACTCCCAACCTACAAGTGCTTCCCAGACATTTTCAGATAGCTTGGGTTTGGTTTGGCAGCTTCGCATTGAGCCCATCCTTCTAAAACTTCCCGTCAAATTTGGCCAGAGTTGTTCTTCTTGAGGCCAACTGCTGATTTTTCCATGACTGGAGCAAATCAGTAACGTTCTCATAGATATAATTGGTTACTGATTTCTCATAGATATAATTGGTTACTGATTTACGCATATAACCACATATCTGAACGAAGCTCATGCTTTAAAATTTATTCAATGAACCATTAAAGGTCATGTTGATGAGCAAAAGTGCAAGACTATTATGAATAGATGATGTGAAAGAAATCAGTTAAGTAGACAGTTTGGGCACATATGATCACAGTGCTCGATTATTTTATCAAATCCACATAGGCAATTTAACAAGGATGCCACAATTACAAGCAGCAGACAAATTTGAATTTCTTCAAATTCAAGTCACAAAAATATTAGGAATACAAATAAAAAATTTTAAAGCAACAGAGCATATACCCATAACAAAGCTAAGAAGGTAAGGCACTGTGATATGAAGTTCATTGGGCATAGCCTCCAGGAGAGGGAACAAAGGTAGGAGCTGTGACCTGCCAAATGAACTTGCTAAAACAAATATTTGAGTACATTAGTTACTGGAAGTAATTTGGCCAACCAGAAGGGCAACCATAAATGTCCTCTAAAAATGACAATGAAATGCTTAAATTCACTATCTGAAAGCTGACCTGGATTGGCTAACATTACTACCAGGTTAATGGTTGGATTACAAGCTACGACAGCAAGTGCTAGGCATCTCCCAAAGGAATCGCCCACCAGATAAATTGGCTTATTTGGAAATGAAGCATGTTCGAGCCTCACAATTTCTTCCACAAATTTCACCAAGTCTACACGCAATAAAATGTAAATTTTAATTAATTTGAAGAGGATTTGAAAAAATTGTGGACAAAGGCATACAAGATACACAAACAAACTCACTATACAAGAAAAAAAAAAAAAAAATATAATAATAATAACAATAATAATAATAAAAGAACAAAATTAACTTTCAACATTATTTAAATATATCAGCAGCACAAATGAACTATCATAAGCAGCACTGCAACACAAAGAAATACTTATAAAGATATTTACAAGTTACAGAAGTTTAAGACATTCAAATGGTGTTCGGTCATAAACAAGAATATACAGGCACCAAACTTCAAAAGCTTTGTATTCAAAAGCAATCCCATATTAGAATTAGGGTTAAAAATAATCAAAAAGTACCAAACTATACATGAATTCCCATCATCATAGTATTACTCAAACAGAACAATGCAATTGTAAGACAAGAAATTTCTTTGACCAGCATATATGCAGATTCTATCACAATGGACCCAAGAAAAATGAAACAGAATAAATTAAGAACTTCTATTGCAATACAAGCATAGTTTCGCCCCCTTAACGCCCTTTTATCTTGATTTTTTATTGTTGATTTTTTTATTGTTACCAAGATCTAGATTGCACCAATTGAGATCATGGAAGTCAAAAAATTCAGGTCTCTATTGTTTCTTCCCCGCCCACACCCTATTTTGTATTTATTCCACTTCTTACTCTTCTTTCCTCCTTGTTAAACCATAGTTATCAACCATTATTCTCACAGATCCTAAAGACATCTAGAGTAACATTTTAATTAATTTGAAGAGGATTTGAAAAAATTGTGGACAAAGGCATACAAGATACACAAACAAACTCACTATACAAGAAAAAAAAAAAAAAATATAATAATAATAACAATAATAATAATAAAAGAACAAAATTAACTTTCAACATTATTTAAATATATCAGCAGCACAAATGAACTATCATAAGCAGCACTGCAACACAAAGAAATACTTATAAAGATATTTACAAGTTACAGAAGTTTAAGACATTCAAATGGTGTTCGGTCATATACAAGAATATACAGGCACCAAACTTCAAAAGCTTTGTATTCAAAGCAATCCCATATTAGAATTTGGGTTAAAAATAATCAAAAAGTACCAAACTATACATGAATTCCCATCATCATAGTATTACTCAAACAGAACAATGCAATTGTAAGACAAGAAATTTCTTTGACCAGCATATTTGCAGATTCTATCACAATGGACCCAAGAAAAATGAAACAGAATAAATTAAGAACTTCTATTGCAATACAAGCATAGTTTCGCCCCCTTAACGCCCTTTTATCTTGATTTTTTATTGTTGATACTAACTACTTTACCAAGATCTAGATTGCACCAATTGAGATCATGGAAGTCAAAAAATTCAGGTCTCTATTGTTTCTTCCCCGCCCACACCCTATTTTGTATTTATTCCACTTCTTACTCTTCTTTCCTCCTTGTTAAACCATAGTTATCAACCATTATTCTCATAGATCCTAAAGACATCTAGAGTAACTTATTTTCTTGGCCATTACATTTCTAACTAGTACAAATTCATTTACCAAACTCATTGAAAAAGAGACATCGCAATATTTTACAAGCACTAAATTATATCATGCTTTAGCTCAAGACACTCCCTTAGGTAGACTTTATATATTTTTTTCTTTAAAAAAAAAATGGAGAGATGGAGACAGGGAAGGGAAGGTAAAGAATTAGAAAACTCCAGTGCTCAAAGGAAAAATGTCCATACCTTCCAATAACAGATTTGGCATTTGAAATATAAGCAAGGGTCACTTTCAATGATCAGAGACACTAAGAAATAAAGGTAGTTCACATCCCATACCAAAATACACAAAAGGGAAAATTCAGTCCCTGTGAAGATCCATAATTACTGCCCCATCACATGATGTTCAATTAAGTTTATCTCACCAAATTAAATTGTCAGCATTAACAACAATATAGATGGCAGTCATCGTCAACCCACAAGAAAGGAATACAAAATTCATAGGAATATCATTTAGTACCCCAAAAAGAATTATAATTACAGTATTTTGAATGCTAGGCTATGGGTATGACAATGTGAGAGTGAAAGATTGTGGTCAAAGACTAGTGATCTTGGAAAGATAAAATCTGAAGCTCTGTTTTTCCATAACAATGGTATATAACCCTAAATTATTTCGTCAAACATCTTGTGAGCAATACATAAGTGATCAACAAAATGAAAAATATAGGGATCCAATCATTTGGACATAAAACAGAGCAGCTTCCAAAACCTAAAGGTTGTGAGAAAAGTTGAAGCTATGAAACTGAAATAAACTATATATAAATAGGAGACACAGCATATCCAAGGGAGATTGAAACTCTTGCATTGCAACCCATTACTTGCAACGTCCAAGGGAAAAAAAGGGAGGGGGGGAAACCGCAACCAAAAAAAAAAATAATCAAAAAAGGGGAAAACAGAGAAACAGTCTAAATGAACACGAAATTAAACCCTAAATGAACAATCATAAAAAGGGGAGACAAAGGATTGTAGAGAGCGAGAGAGAGAGAGATAGACAGAGAAAGACTATGAGCAAGAGAGAGAGACACACACTGGCAGATCGAGAGCGAGAGAGAGTGAGAGAGAGAACCTGTGATCTGCGGCTGTGGCGGTGGTGATTTCCAGCTGTGAGTGGCCGTGCTGATGCCCTCCGTACAGTGGGCTACGGTGAAGTGATTTCGTGTGAGGTTTGGTGGTGAGATAGTCTGGGCGGGAGAGAGTTTGAATATCATTTCGTCCAATAGAGGAAGTGCGGGCAACAATTGTTTCCCTCCCAAAACTCATATCATTTAGCGACTAAAATCAATTTTTTGTCGGCAAATGTATTAAAATTTATTTTTTTAATATTTTTTGTATTTGTTGAATTTTTTCAAAAAAAATATTTCACAGATATTATATTTTAAAGCATATTTGGATAAAATGTATCTAAAAAATAAATATTTACAAAATTCACTAAAAAAACAAAAAATATATATAAAAAAATCAATTTGTAGTACATCAAAAAAAAAAAAAAAAATTCAACCAAATGGCCAACGGTTAAAAAAAGAGGGTATCAAGATGATAAAGAGTTTTTTGTTTTTTTTTTTTTGAGTAGGATAAGAGTTGTTAAAAAAATAAAATAAATAAATAAATAAATTATTTATAAGATAAGGGAAAATATCTATATATACAATAATGCTATATGTAAATTATAAAAGTGTACAAATAAACTCCTTAATTATAAAAATGTATCAATTGAACACCCTAATAGAAGGGGTCAAAGTGAAACATATCAATAGTTTAGGGAATTTATTTATATATTTTTATAGTTTAGGGGTAAAATAATACTTCTCAATAATTTAAGAGGTCTATTTATATGTTTGTATAGTTTAAGGAATCAAAATAATATATATTTTTTTATAGTTTAAGAGATCTGTATGTAAATACTTACTTAAAAAAAATTAAAATATTATTGCACATATATATACATATATATATGTATAAAATTTTAAAAAATTTATGTGTTTGGTTTTGTATTTGGTTATCATTACTGTTATTTTTTTGTACCTCACATTTTAGTCAAAAAATTATTAAAAAAATCGTTTTTCAAATGGGCCTTATATAAGCATGACTCTTCCAAAGGTTTTATCCTGAGGAGAGATCATAAGTTCAATTCTCCCTAAAGGGAGTTGAATTAGGAGAAAAACACAAGAATGGAGAGATGAACTCTTATAAATGTCAATCAACCTAATAAAATTAGCTTACGATAGAAACTCCTATATAAAAGAAAACAAGTGCAACAAAATAAAGAATAAATTATACTGACCTTTTTGAGATTAAAAAAAAAATCTACAAATTTAACATAATTATGTTGAGGGCTTTTTTTAATAAGTTAAGCCAAATGAAATTAATGCAAAAATTAGAGTGAATAAGAAGGAATTTTTAACTTTTCTTTTATATGAGTTGAAATTTTTTTAAGTTTTTGACTTTTTGAATGACTTTGACAATTGTTTTTACTAAAATAAACCGTTGTCAAGCGGATTCTAACTTCTAGGTATATTTTTTAAAACAAATTATGTACTTTTAAATAAATAAATATAATAAGAATAAAATCAACTGTTTAAACCACTGGAATAAGATTTGTGATGAGCTCTGTGGGCTCAGTTGCATGTCCAGTCCACATGAAAATGGATTCCACAGAAGCTTGTTTCATGTGAATATAATTGATTTTTTTAATAGGAAATATAAAAATTAAAAATAAAAAGTTTCTTTAACCTTTATCCCATAAATTATTATTATTATTTTTTTACCCTTAGGTTATCACTTTCATTTATTTATTACTAATAACCCTTAAATTATTATTGTTTATCCCATAATAAGTTATCACTATTATTATTGTTTAATTTGATTTTTTTCACCCTTACATTATTATTATTAATAACAATTCGCGACTAAATATTTTAGTCACTAATTACTTGTTTAATCCCTCCAAAATTTGAAATCTCCCTCCAAATATTTTAGTTTTTTGGCGACTAAAATATTCTTTTATCGTTGAAAATATACTTTTGGCGACAAAACTTTTGGTCGCCAAAGATAAAAATAATTTTTTTTTCCTTTTCATTTGGCTACTAAACAATTTTAGTAGCTAAAACTAACTATACGGCTATTAAAATATTATTTTGTCACTGAAAATATACTTTTGGCGACCAAGCTTTTGGTCGCCGAAGATAAAAATATTTTTTTTTCTTTTTATTCAGCTACTAAACAATTTTAGTAGCTAAAACTAACTATAAAGCTACTAAAAAATTCTTTTGTCGCTGAAAATATACTTTTGGTGACCAAAATTTTGGTCATCGATGATAAAAAATAATTTTTTTCCTTTCATTCGGCTACTAAACAATTTTAGTTGCTAAAACTAACTATACGGCTACTAAAATATTCTTTTGTCGCTGAAAATATACTATTGGCGACTAAACTTTTGATCGCCAAAGATAAAAAATAATTTTTTTCTTTTCATTCGGCTACTAAACAATTTTAGTAACCAAAACAAGCTATACGGCTACTAAATTTTTTTTTAGTTGTCAATTGTAATATTTTTAGTGACTAATTTTTTTTTAGTCGCCAATAATCAATATTCCCCGACTAAAAAAAATTAGTAGCTAAATATTTAACTTTTGCTGACTAATATTATTTTTAGTCGTCAATTCCATAACTTTTGGCGACTAAATTTTTTTTGGTCACCAAAAGTGCATTTTGTCGTAGTGAGTGTTACATTAGATTAGAGTGCCGCGTTTGGGGGGGGAGGGGGAATACGCTAAGGAGTTTTTGTGTATTACATTGATTAGAGTGTGACATTTGAAAAAAATATGCTAAGATATTTTTATAAAATGTTATATTGTTACGTTTGAAAAAAATATAACAAAGAGTTTTTTTTAGTGTGTTACATTGTAGCATTACGTTTGGAAAAAATATATTAATAAAGAATTTTTTTAGAATGTTATGTTATTACGCTTGATAAAGTATACTAAAATGTTTTTTTTAGTATGTTAGTTTAGAGTGTTATGTTCGAAAAAAAATATACTAACGAGCTTTTGTGTGTTGTATTAATTGGAATGTTACGTTTGGGAAAAAAAAATGTACTAAAGAGTTTTTTTCAAATGTTACATTGTTACATTTGAGAAAGTACACTAATGAATTTTTTAGTTTGTTACAATGGAGTGTTACATTTTTTGAGTATTACGTTTAGAAGAAGTACACTAATGAGTTCTTTTGAAGTGCTATGTTTAGTAATGTTAACATTATAAGAAAACTCATATTTGTCTCTCAACACATAACAAACACGTTTACGCTTGGTCATTTATATAATCATAATAGAATGGAACCTTTGAATCCATACAAAAAAAGAAAAAGAAGAAGAAAAAAAAAAAAACCAAATAGTTCATAAAATCAATATTTTAGATTTATTGGTGCTTCAACTAAAAAAATCCGAACCCCAATTTGCAAAATCTCTTAAATCATTAAATATTACCCAGCTAAAATATATATATATATATATATAGAAAACAAATCTTAACTCAGATATGCAAAATCCAGTAAATGATTATATATTAGGCAGTTGCTATCAATAGAAAGAAAAAAAAATTCCTGCCCTTCTAGGTATATTTTAGTAAACCATTGAATATTGCAATCAGTAGCCCAGGACTTAGGAAATGGCCATGCCACCACCACCTCCACCTCCACCTCCACCTCCAAAAAGAACCAAATAGTTTATAAAATCAATATTTTAGATTTATTGGTGCTTCAACTAAAAAAATCCGAACCTACAAAAATTTACGACAATCTCTTAAATTCATTAAATTATCTACCCTAGCCAGTATATATTCACTACTATATTATATAGTAGAAAAGCCAAATCGTTAACTCAGTATGCAACAAATCCAGCTAAATGATATTATATATTAGGTCATGTTGCTTATCATATAAATAAAATAAAACAAAAAGTAATATAATAACTTAACATAAGGGATAAATAATATATCTTCTAGCTCCAGATTTGATAGTAAATGCCATTGAATATTGCAATCAGTAGCCCAGTACTGTGAATGGCCATCGTCACCTGGATTCCCTTCCGCCTGCCTACCTACCCCTTCATGCACCCATTATTGCAACAAGTTTGTGTGAATCTTCATAATAACAATTAAATTATTGAGAGTTATGATTTAAGCATCAGAATGGCCATGTCA